ATTAAGTACAATACAATACTTCCGTGATATGGGAAGTGAATCACAGACGTTGGACTTTGTAATTGCTCTTTTAAACCAGTAACACTAATCATTCAGTATACTTTTGATGACGGTGGAACCTTCAATCGGTGCCTAGCGTTTTGGGGAAAAAAGACTGGGGAGTGGGGTATTCGTACCTCACTAAAACCAGCCCGGAGGCCATCGTCAGCACATGTAAACCGGCTGACGGCGGCCTCCGACCGGGTTCCCTGAAAGAGATACGCTCCGGAGCCCCCTCAATGAATCGCCTGTTACCTTAGGATCTTAGGTATCTAGAGTTTTTATACTTGATAGATATTTCTGTTTTAAACCTGTAGAATTGTAGATGTACTTTTCTCTAGACAAATGCAGTGTATTTCGATTGTACCTAAATTACCAATATCTAGTTTCCTAACTTCTTTTTTCGGTCCTAATTTCTGTAATTATGTCGTTAGTAGGTATCTTAATACAAGATATTTGAATCGATTTAAGTAGGTGGTTGATGGAAAATTCATACAAATAATACCTAATATGAAAAAACTGATTCAAATCAAAAAAATATTAGATACGATTGATTTCGTCTGTTAGCTGATCTGCATTAGGTATACATAATAGGGTCGGAAGTTTTAGTCCTACATCAAGCAATACTATTGTAAAAGTGAAAAGTTTTTTATATTGCTTTCTCTCTTTGGTTTGTACTGTAGTTTAACCACAACAGTTCTTCAGTTATAATTCAAGATTAAAGGATTCAACCATTTTAAACCATATTTAGTCATGTATTTAAAGTCCTTTTTTACTTTTTGCAATGTCACGGTACGTTCATGGAGTTCACGGTCGCATTGAAATGACTGTTATTTAAGCTGAATTTCTTCTTACACGCCCAAAGAAACTACAGCTTTACTTTAAGAGTAATAGAGTTGAAATTCCTGAATCATTTTCTGATAGATTTATTTCACTGTACAGGGTAAGAAGAACTGTATTTTATTGGACTGTCGACCTTAGGGCTCTGGAAATAAAGGTTTGAAATGTAAAGTTAGGGGTCATGTTTAACTGGTTTATGTCAAGAATTAAGTATTCACAAAAACGACTTAGGGATGCCTGAAGACATCTTAAAGCCAGATTAATATACTTAGTACTTACAGATAAGCTGCTATTGTTTGGCGCTGAATCATCTCGTGTTGTAGTCAGTTTTTGAAATAGGAAGATTTCGAGAAATTCTGGATTTTGATCGAGTTTACCTGTTGTTAAACTCAAACACTATTGTGTTTAATTTTGTAATTGCATTTTGAGTGACTTATTATGAAGACTAAAGTGTGAAAAGTATTTTACAAGAGAAAAGGTTTTTCGAGCTATATTATGTGCCGTAAAATGGACTAATCTATAGGAAAAGAGTCTTTTGGAAAAGAGTTCCAAAAAAGAAACCAATTAAAAAAATTAACTTAAAACCTCTAGGTCGGCTGTTGGTATTACTTATGACTACATACTCAACGAGACACCGATGGGAAAGTAGTAAAAATACGTGGGAGGGAACAAAAACACTAATAAATAATTAAAACATTAATGTTTACCAACAACAAATTAGTCGACAGATTGATTAACAGCCATGTCAATTTACCAATCGCTTAGTCAATGTTAAAAAATACAACCTGTCAAATTGACAACTAGTTGCTTGTGTCAAATTTGACAGTTTAATGAACGATTAACTGAGAGTGGGTTAATGTTGACATGTTGTTTGTTTATTTTACAGTAACCAGTTATAATACGGTTAATCGTTTTTTAAATGTACAAACTTAGTTTTAAACGTTTGAGTTCATTTTAATTTATGATTACTGGGGAAAATAGATAAAACTTTTATCTTAAATTAATTGCGTATACAAATTAGTCAGCGATTGTTAGAAGGCAGAAGGTTCATAAGTACAATATTCCTACAAAATTACAATTTATAATAAGAAGGGAAATAGATAACTACATATAAAACTACCTACTACATCTAACTTTCGAAAAATAATTTAATATTAGTCTTCTGGACATTTTTCCAAAAATCCGACTTTATAATTTGTCTACAACATCATCTTTACTAAAGTACATCTTTCAAAGTGTATTGTGCCCATAATTTTCTAATTTCTTTATTCACGTGGATCGTAATCATAAAGTTCCGGGTTCCACGTCCGAGTGATGTTCAAGGGTGCTTGGAATCATTTAATATTATTGTGTATAAGTATGTATGTTATGTTATGAGATTATGATTCGTTAGCTGATGAGAGTAAGAATTTCACTTTTAGAGTTGGTCAATCAAAAATACATTATTGATATTGCTATTCAAGGGTACATACATCAGAAAGTTATATCTTGCTTTCTACAGCTTAATAATGGCACATTAAGATTTTATCACTAAATAAATACAACTAAAACCTTATCACACTTGGCACAGTAATTTAACTCGTCGAGTACCGGTTTTGTAGACACAATTATAGAACAATAGGTTGCGGTCACCGGTGACCGCTTGGTGTTTGACAGTTTAATCACGCGCACTAACAAACGAACATCCCTTTAGAATAGATAAAAACAAATTAAGATACCAAACTCAAACAAAATATAAACAAAACCATTTCAAAAATAACCCCCAACGGCTTACGCAATTCAAATAAGGCTCTATTCAATACACACTTGTTGACTCAGCCTGGAACCGCTGAAACTGGAACAATTAAGTGTCCTAGTTTCCTTGAAATGAATTTCAGGTTTAGACAGCGCTGAAACCCTGAATAAACACATCATGAAAATATGTTTAGTTAAATCTGCTGACCAGAATAACATTCTATAGTCTAAAACAAGGTAAATTTCTACGTTTTGGCTGTTTACTTTGCTCCTAAATAAATAGTAGAACCGCAAATGTAAGCAAAATATACTATGTACTGTACAATCCCTTCGTGGGCAACCCTGAGTAAATTCTAGATAGACTGGATTGGTGACGCCGAATTTTAGACACAGAAGTTTCACATCAATCAGAAATGACAGTTATCGCCTTTTTAGCTTATTAACTTTTTACTAGAAACTGTTTTGATTCTTCTTTCGTTCTAATATAAGATTTTTTAGTGAATCGAATCCAGTGATGATATGGAATTCAAATTTAAACGGTTCAGTGCCTTTAGCCAAACGCCACTTTAGCGCTTTTCTACAGAGAGAGTAGAAAACTAAATGTATGGGCATGACACAGACAAGTGTCAAAATTTACGTCAATTCTATATAATATAGTTTTCTATTCTACAAGTAGACAAGCGCTAAATGGCATTTGGCTACAGCTGCTAGTTATCAAACTGCTACTGCTCGATCTCGACCAAATGTAACTTGGTGTCATCAAGTTCCGAGTGAACAGATTGTTCATAGATAGACGTAATCCATCGTCGATCACATCATCGCTTACCACAGTCAGGCGAGATGATGGCGAAACATCAACCTATCGAGTAAAAAAAAGACCAAATGTGCAGCCCCTTAATCGACAGCCACGAAAGAAGGATGGTGACAAAATATATTCTAAACTGCCGTCAACCAACGGCTAAATTAAGTAAAATCGCGAGTTACTCACGTGAATATACTTTCTCAGTATATAGCTCTACTAGTTTCGAACCACAGAGGGGTTCTTCCTCATGAGCAGCGTGCGCGGTCGCGGCGACGTCGCACAGCTCACTGTGTGACCGCCAGTCCCTATACACATACAATTATGCTAGCTAAGGAGGAGGCGGGACGCGTGAGGCAGCGAAGCGCTGCCTCCTCGCAACCCAGCCATCGCGAAGGACACACCGGGCGTCGGGGATCGCGGGACGATCTCCGGCCACCGTAAGCGCGGGCCTGCGGACGGCGAGCATGGGTGGCTCCCCGTCCGACCAGAAACAGACCCGAGCGTACGGCGCGTCGCGTTCCGCGCGCGCCTCAAAGAGCCATCAGACCACCACAGATGGGGCCCAATAGGGCCGATGCCGATTCGGAGTCGCGGAGAACCTAACGGGTAACCGGGACTCCGGCTCGACGTGCAGGAGAAGGAACGGGGTGGTTTTTAGTCAGTGACTGACACTCCCTTCCGCCTCACCCAGGCGGGAGCAGTCATTCGATGATTTTCCCCCCTTAAAAAAAAAAAAAAAAAAAAATACACATACAATTAACTGCACTCTTCTCCCATTAATATATTTTACGACAACTAGACACAATAAACTGGGCCTTCTGTTCCTTCACATGGGGTGAAGGTCACTGTCCTCGCAAACGTTTAAGGGCAGCCCTTCGACCTTCGAGGGTCACAGAACCAAGGTCATGTCGACCTTGCGCTAAAAGGTTCTTAGATAATCCTACTTTTGCACTCGACTTAACAGGAATCTCGTTTGGATTTAGTCAACTTGGGGACCTTTTATTCATAGACTTAAACTTTCAGTTTGAGCGTCTTTTTCGCGATAGAGGGAGCTCTAGGTGCAGGTTTTAGCTTTTAGGATTAAGGTAGATAAGTTTTTTTGAGACTTAGACTTACTAAGTCCAGGTGCGCGTTTGCAAGATTAAGGTCAGTTACTAACGTAACATAACATCACGCCTTCTATCCCCGAAGGGATAGGCAGAGGTGCGCATTACGGCACTTAATGTCACCGTACAATGTAACACCCACTTCTCACTATTTATGTTATGAGTCCCAAGTAAGGGTGAGATCTATTGCCATATACCGGGCACAATTCCAGACTCCGTGCTTCTACTGAGATTTTAAAAAATACAGTAATACTTTGCCCGACCGAATCGAACCCGATACCCTTTGAGCGGCATTCGCACTTGTGACCACTCGGCCAACGAGGCAGTTTTATTTTTTTACAGTTCCGATTTTAAACGATTTCCGATTCTATTGCCATTATTGAATTAAAAGTATACAAATGATTATGATAGATTATAATAATTATGATTATCTATTATTATAAATTATCAATATTCAATACATTTTTCTTTTGTTACAGAGAAGAGATGTGGAGTCACAGTCGTCGTCAAAAACTAGTTTCTGCACACGACATGGCTTGTGGTGGACATTTGGGGTTGATATTCCTTTACTTTTAATCTGTAAGTACCTAAATATATACCTATCGATATACTTTTTCGAGACTTAATCCTTAATATTCAAAGTATACCCCAAGCCCTTTCGGAGCCGCGGAGAACCTAACGGGTAACCGGGGCTTCGGCTCGAAGCGCAGGAGAAGGAACGGGGTGGTTTTTAGTCAGTAAGAGTCTGACACTCCCTCCCGCCCCACCAAGGCGGGAACAGACATTCGATGACTTTCCCCCCTTAAAAAATATACCCCAAGCCCTTAAGACTCCAAAACTCTAGAATCGTGAAGGAAATGTAATAGGTGCTGGGGTTTTTTAAAGACTGCTAACAAAATCCATAAAAAGCCCAACTTTCTACCATTTCCTAATCATATTTTTAAACCACATCGTGTGTGGCACCACATAGAATTAATATCCATTTATGATCATATTTAGTTCACTGGGACACTCCATATTTCCCACCTATAAGGAAGCCACACGAAACCCTTTATACGTCCTAAATTAATTACATAAATTACAAAATTAATTGTTATTGAAATCATAACGGATGCAGCTAATTAACAGACACGAATAAAATTAAAATTAACCTTAAAATGTTCGACTACCAAAAATGGCGGCTATTTCATTGCAACGAAGACAGATATAATGTTGCCAGAGAAAATAAATCGAGCCGATTTATTTTTAGAGGGAAATCGTGTGTGGAATTTTAAACTCTATGTTCATGGTAGGAAGTTAGCATGTATGCTTTGGTATTTTATATAAATAAAATAGAAAAATATAATGTTATAATAAGTATTACTAATTTTACACGCAAAGGTGTTTTGTTTATTTTTCTTGTAGTGTAACCTTTAGGGATTATGTTTGAAATTATGTTCATGCTTTTTAATGCATAGACTGTTTAGCATATTGTGCAACGATTTTAACAATATTTATACATTCTGGCTTACTTGAATGAAGTTTATTGTAATTGCTTCAGGAAAAACTGAAAGGAAATAATAATTAAAATCAATACACGCGCATTGTACTTAGCAGAAATAAATATACTTATATTATGCAGCGTGTGTTATAAATGTAAACAAGTTAGTAATTACAAAGTGGTTTATAATCAACGAAATGTTTATTTTAATTAGAAGAGCAGTAAATAATATGCAATTACTTTTAATTTTAATTATCAATGCATTGCTATTACAAGAATAGTTATATGGAAAATATTTTGTCGTCTGTGATTATTCAGTTAAAAAAACGACACTGATACTGAATTTTTTGTAAGAATTGATGGGATGGGAAATTGACGTCAACAAGTCTAAAGTTGAGGACTGCTTATCAAAATTATGTTTAGGAACCTACTAATATCTTTAAACAAACACACTTAACAAAAATGATTACCACGTGTTACCAATAAGTAGATACTTTCGAAATAATAATTAAATTTAGATATCAGCATTTGACTGCAAAAAGGTAAAAAATATATTTGACATGACACACGTGTGGACCCCACACTGACACATTAGGGAGTTGTCACATCTGAAAATGAATAAAAAATGTAGGATTTTTATGCTTTCATTTTTTGCGGTGCCTTGGTTATTTTTGGAACATCATTATAATTAATGACGTCTTGGTTAACCTAATTATTTTGGACTGTCTCTTGAAAAAGTTGCTTACGTACATATTATGATTTATAGTTAAATGCTTAATAGTTGCACTAATTCATACCTAAATAATGCAGAATCAGCAATACAAAAAATTCAAAAATGTATCATTGCAATGAATGTGTGTTAAGCATTGGTTTTTTGGAAAGAAAATATTTGAAAAAAAATTGTATGCTTAAAAAACCTTTATTTATATCTACCAAAATAGAAAATATAAAAATACATAGAACGAACCACCTACATTATACATAAATAAATTACTCCTCAATGCATCTAAGACGAGTTATCACTGACGTGTGCGACACTCATAAAGATTCGCTTTTATTGACGTCAAATACTTTGTAAAACAATACGGTACTTGACGGACGCGTACCTATGTGACTGTGTTTAGAATTGATTTGCGCATTAAGAAAATGCAGCCGTCCTTTTGTTATGACTGTTTAGGTGACATGACACGTGAGACGTTCATAATATTACTATTTAATATTATTTGGTTAAGTCGTACGACACTTTATCATTATTCAAGAAAATTACCTAAAGTACAACCGTTGTTCCAAAGAATTGTGCATGTTTGTTCAAATGGGCAAAGACACTAGTTCTTGTTCATAACCTGGGTCGGATAACGCCATTGTGAACCAAAATTATTATTTAGAACCTTAAGGTAACATTCCTGATGAAAATTGAACTAAAACTTCTTTATAGGTAATTCTTCAGAAAATATGTTATACTATAAAAAAAACTAAGAGAAAAAATGTCCATGCATAATTTAAAAGTTTACAGCTGGCAACACTTACCGCATATGGCAGAATGCATGCAATCGCAGTCACTATTTACAAAATATGAAAAAAAAAATCATGTCATCGACCTTTTGACACCAATGCGCGTTCATTAGAGCAAGCATTTAAAATTGGAACATTATTTTTAAAATAGAACTTATGTTGTATAATTTTATTCTATTAATCAAAAGAGGATTGTTTTATTGGATATTAATTGTTTTTAGATCTATGTTTCTATTTTAAACGTTATGTTTTCTAATTTTACATTGATTTCATAAAAATACGTAGGTACGCATGTACTTAAAACATGAAAATGCATATAATTAAAAAAAAACATTTTCTGAAGCAAACTGAGTAAAAATAATTGATTTAAGCGAAAATAAGCTTAACCACAGACTATATGATACAACCTTTATTATTATGGCACATCCCTTTTTAACAAGAGCGGCATTTTTGGCGAGTTTTAACGATGAGGCATGAAATGTAACGGAATATAAGGACCGGGAATCGGACACATTGAACAAAGGCTTAAACTAACGATTCCCGTATTTTATATAGGGTAATTTATTTTGGTTACTTATTTAATACGATGAACTAAAACTACGTTTAAAAAACCGACTTCAACCCCAACTTTTTTAAGGTCGGTTTATTAATATACTAAAACCTCATAAGTGTAACAAATACCTTTCTGAAAACCGCATCAAAATCGGTTCAGCCAATCGCGAGATAATAGCGCACAAACATACATACATACATACATACATGTGAAACAGAGAACCTCCTTTTTTTAAAGTCGGTTAAAAACATTATTAAGTAGTAAGCAATTATAATTATTATAATCAGAATTATTTATTCGTTTTTCAAAATTAGAAGCTACCTATATCCAACAAAGTTGTTTTGCTTTACTATCACATCTGTTATCTATAGAAATTTGAACATTCCATGAGTCTTAATTGGTAATTAACTAATAATTAAATCAAATTGTATCTAATTCTTATTCGGGATTATAACAAATTTATAACAGATTAGTACTAAAGTAATTAACGAATATATTACATTTTATCTCGTTAAGTGTATCTATGAGGAAAAATATCGATTTCAATGTATTTTGGGTAGATAGATATAAAGCATTTTGTTTCCTAGTTACCTACGTTAAACTGTCAAGATATAAAGCATTTTATTTCTTAGTTACCTACGTTTTAAGTAGCTTATAATGTTATGTCGATTAATGCATGCATCGAAAAAATGCCATCATTGCTTAATACTTACCCATTTTACACCACAAAAAGAACTAAATGTATCCCGTTTTTAGTTGAGTATATGTTACGTACCTTACGCTCAGAGGACCAGTTAGAGGACCCGGTGTCCCCTATAGCTGAGGTTTACCGGGGTGGTTCTAGTGAACAAATGAGGAGACAATCCTACACTCCTTAGACGTTCTCCCCAAAAAGCTAGGCTATTTGCAGGTCCCCCCCCCCGTCATAAAAAAGGAACCTTCGTACCAAATTCGTCATACGTGTCGTAACCATAATTTGGAAAAACTTACAACTAAGGTAATAGTATAAATAGTAAAATAGGGTGTAACTGTAAGCTGTCTCACTCCCTTGTATACCTTCAATTTGTATTAAAAAACAACTCTTATTCATCAGTTTCGTAATAAGGCAATAACATCTAGTTGTAGCACTTAATATGGTCATTTTGTAGTCTTACGAAACTTCATTTACCTTTATGTACAACACCCCGTTGCGCTGCACGCTGTTCCCGCGTTCAAGAGGCATTTTAATCGATCCCTATTTATGGATATTCGATTTAACGGTCATCAATGAAACTCTCGATTAATTGATGTAATTGAATCGTGAACTTTCGTTGTGAATGGACAAAAACGTGCCGACACTATAATTCATGGTAATCTGATTAAAGATAACACTTAATAGTCGAGTTTCACTTAATTTTAATCAATTTTATGCATAACAACATTACAATGCATCCCAAGATAATTTTTACATAACACAAACACTGACAGCGCCATCTAGTATCGAGTAGCGGAACTACTCGTTCTGGTGAACTTTATTTTAAAATTATTTTCGTTTTATTTTACGATTCCGTCTAATGTTTACTCACTAGAATCGTTTGCAGGTAATTATTACAATTATCTATAATGATTCACAACGCTTAACCACTTTTAATTCAAGATGTTGACAATATGCAATCTTTCAATTACGTATGTTTCTGTGCGTGCCACAAGCGTGGCCGGTCTTAGGAACGTGTAGGACCACGCAGTAGGTCCACGTGGGTCCCAACGTGGGGCCCAACGTGTCGGATGCACTACAATTGCCCTATTATGGCTTGTTACGTAATTATTCGTAACCCAGTCCCGTGGTACACGGCCCGACTTGCACAGGACGAAGAAACTTCGAGTCGCAGTGGGTTATGTAATACTTTCTGAGCTGAGCAATCGATATAGTATAGAGATATGCACACAGAAATTAACATTATTTAAATTTATATTTACCTAAGATCCAGCAGTTGCTTATGTTGTACATAAAATACTATGTGAAGCATGCATCAATAAATTACAAAAATAAAGCTTTTCTTTTTATACCACGACGGTGGCAAAAAAGCACACGGTCCACCTGATGGTAAGCGGTTATCGTGGCCTATGTACGCCTGCAACACTTGGGGCATTACATACGTCTTGCCGACTCTTAAGAAACCTATTCACTCCCCTCTTGAAGAACCCCATGTTGTAGCCCACTGGGAAAACCACGGCAGGGAGCTCATTCCACAATCGGAGGGTCCGTGGGAGAAAATTCCTCTGAAACCGAACTGTACGGGAGCATTTGGGCTCCAATGTGTGATCGCGAACTCCCTGTCGATGGCGAGCGATGCGATGATAGAAAGTTAATGTTGTTACTATCCAAATAATTTCAAATCTTAACACACATCCAAATAACTTAGTAGATAATTATTGCATTAGCAATCATCATGACAATATCAATTTTAATCAAATATAATTAGATTTACTTATCTTTAATCAGACACGTGAAATTAAAGTCAGTACATAATTTATATTGGTAGGTACGTATTGCATACTTGTTGTGTTATACAAATAAATATGGAGACAAAAATTATTGACAATTTTATTAATTAACTACCTATTAAAATCTGCTCATCGCCGTTGATCAAGTAGTCGCAAAGGCAACTGAACTTGTCGAACTTTACTTTTACCCAGAAAACCACACCAATAACGCCAAAATATAATTGCCAATATTTTCCAATTGAATTTTAAAAGACACCGCCAAAACCCATGCAATAATAGTCCGTGATTTATCATGACTACATGAACGTCATGATAATCGCACCACGAAACATCACCAACATAAAACGAACCGCGGCGAAAATTGGAACCAGCATTATTCAACCGCAATTACCAGTCCCTACTCACAGCAGCAACAGGCAGCGACACTTGAAAGTGTCAGGACAGTTTGGTGGCAAACTGTTCCTGGTATACGACATTGACTTTGAACCATAGTTTGGGGGATTGGCAAATAAATTGGCTAATAGAGTACGGCGTCCATTTCAATGTCACGGGGATAAAAATTGCGTGAGTAAGTTAGATAATATTAGAACTAGATTCGGTCTGAACGTTCCGGGTCTTGATGAAGATATCCTATGTATTACTAACGTACCAGGAAGATCATTGAGTCAAATCTATTAGAGTATGCAATTTTGACTGTTTAGAGGACACATATATTTGCTAAATGAGCGTAGGTAGGGCTCAAATTCAACGGATGCTAGATGTAACGTAGCTTTGGACTAATGCAATTTCTTAGGTAGATGAGAGTTGTAATTCAGTAGTGGACTGCCATTAGCCGTTAATGATGTGTGTCATCAAGGCCCGAGTAAATAAGTTGCTTATGGGACGACGTGCTCCATCGTAGATCGGATCATCGCTTACCATCAGGCGAGGTAGCAGTCAAGCGCTGGCCCATCAAATATATAAAAAAAACTACTTGGACTTGAATTCAATTTACTTGCTAATGGTACTTATGTTTTCAATCACAATCCCTAAAACAGAACATTCGTATTTAAGTCCTCTATAAATGTCAATTTTCTTGTGAACTTGCGATATGCAATGCATTCCAAATTAGGTGCGTATACCTAGTACCAGCTAATTCAAAAATGGTCACAAACATTGAGGAGTTTGATTCATTGAATTACATTACAGACGAGGAACCTATGTGCGTCATAGAATCGAATTTTCCTTGAAAGGTACATTGGTAATATTATTGGTAGGTAGTTTTCACTCTTCTTAACGATTTAACTCTTCTGAAAACCTTGAAAAGCATCAGGTTTATCAGAGAACGGCGTTGTTCAATCACTGCTAAATATGTAGTCTTTTTGTCGACTTTCTCACTACGGAAAACGCAGCTGACAAGTGTAGTTTATTGTACTACTAGCTTTTACCCGCGGCTTCGCTCGCGTCACAAAAGGCTAAAAGTAGCCTATGTGACATATACACACAGCGCCATCTATACCAATATTTTTGTTATCCCTCGACAATATCAATTTTTTTCAGGATAAAAAGTACCCTATTTTTTAATCCAGACTTCTAACTTTACGTCTGCAAAATTTCAAAACAATCGGTTTAGTAGTTACGGCGTGAAAGCGGAACAAACAAACAAATAAACTCACTTTCCGATTTATAATATTATAGTAAGGATCACCACACGATTAATCCAAAAATGATATCCTCTTCTAACTTCTTCTAATCAACACCTTTCTTCCACAGTACTTGCTCTGATCGGCCTCTTCGAGTTGGGAGTGATCCCGAACCACAAAGCAGGCTTCTACTGCAACGACCCAGCGCTCAACTTTCCTTTCAACGGAGACACAGTTACCACTGAGATCCTCATGTCTACTTTACTAGCTGGACCTTTAGTATTTGTAAGTATTTTCTTTATTGTAATTGAATATTATGATTTTAGGAATCTTAATAAAAGTAGGATGCAAAGAGCTCGCTTATAGCAATTAAGAATTACTTTAAAAAAGATAATTGAGTCTGTATACCTAAATAAATGAATAATGTAAGAAGTTTTATGTAACCATTAGGTTTTCTCACACTATTCGAGGAAGATATAATGATTTTCTCTGAAAAGCATATTATGAATACGCTCCTGATGCGTCATAGTGTTTGTCTGTTTATGTTCAGTTCATAGGTACTGGTCTGACGACCATATTAATGTTTTACGGCCATAATGCCGGTGAATAATATCAAAATTTTAAACATAATATAATATAGAATGAACAAATTTTATTTCACTAAGAAAAAATTATACATAAATGGCGTAATAAGTTCTGTGGCATAACGTTAATTTTGTTTCTTGGAACATTTGGATTGGAACTTTTTCAACACTAATAATTTTTTTCGCTTCTTTGAAACAGTCACATTATCATTAACAATATCTTTCTATCCTTTCAGTTCGCGATCACAGAATACATCTTCGTCTACGTCGACTACTCCGAGTCCAGGATACGACAGACATGCATAAACACCTTCTACTTGTACAGAACCTACATCTACGGGCTCATCATTAACCTTAGTATAGTTGAGGTGATGAAAGGAATTGTAGGCAGCCCTAGACCTACCTTCTTCGATTTGTGCGAACCTGATGCTGGGAAGACTTGCAATGGGTAACGAATACTTTTGATTGATTGTTATTCCATTCGCTATCTTCTGTAATATGTATATTTCTTAGCTACCTATTCAAAATTGTTGACAACAAGATTTTTCGGGATCAGTTAGCCATCTTATGACACCAAAAAGTGTTCGGAAGTCCTTTAACCCGTGGAACGTAGATCTACGCGAGACACAATGTATTTTCTATTGTATCTCATATACTGGCATTCAAGAGGTTAAATACTATTCTAACTTAGCTGACTAAGTGCTTCTAAAAACTCCTCATTAGACAAAATTGATACAACAGCTCCTAAATCACTTCTATTAATCCAATCGTCATTGAATAGTACACCTACCAGGGCATTTTACTGATACTTCCCAATAAAAAGCTAGTCAGATTGTCTCAGACGCCCAGCTCGGTCAGTGACTGGTCATTTTAACGACATCCGCATTTGTATAGAGCAGTGTTTCCCAAAGTTCTGTAGCCTGGTAATTTTTACTCTACGTCTTGATTATTGAGAATTGCTACTCTATAAATGGATAGTTTGATGAAGGTAATCCCAAGGAACACGTTAAATTACTATAATCTTAAACTGATATATGATACCACATACTTTAATATCTCCGTGATATGGAATATTTTAAAATCATAGGGAGAAAGTTTCGTATCCTCGTAACATATTTTGATATCTGGACTCGGGGTTTGGAACCACTGGCGTAATAGAGCAATATGTTTGCCTCACAGAAATAATACATTTGACATTGAGCGATCTTGAAGCACGCAGATGCTACTTATCTAATCTGAGGATTGACGTGACCACATCAAAGTGTCAGAGATGGAAATTCATGAGATTATTGACACTGAATTTATGATCGTAAATGTTACTTATTAAGGAGATACTGCGAAAGTTTGGATGGAGAAATTTCAACTTTATTGTATGGGAAATCTCTTGTTGTTTAAAATGTTATTAGCTTAATATGGAGTGATATGTAATTAATAAGAAATGTGTCGATGTTTATTTCATTTACTATTATACTTTTTCCTTTTATGTCCCGTTTATACATTCTAGTTTGCAGATATATTCTTGCAATATATGTTTTTTTTAATTAATCCTTTCTTTTTTTTCTTCTTATTTAAATCTCTAACGGAATGTAATAATTTGTTACAGTACTGAATATGTGAAAGACTTCCAATGCACATCAACGAAGTACGCGAGCTGGTATCAAATGGACTCCTACAGGAGCTTCCCATCAGGTCACACCTCTCTATCCGTCTACTGTGGACTCTTTCTTGCGGTAAGCCTTTTTAATATTTTATTCATTATCATAATTATTAACGTTAGAATGTTTCCTAACCACAAAATCAAGACTGCATAAATGAGTGTACTCTCCAACAGTCCTACCACTTGAACTCTCTTATCAAGTCCATTGATTTGCTTCTTATTCTATATTTTTTTTCAAATATTTTATTAATTTGATTATTTTCTCCTTGGTATTCATTGTTATTCCTTCTTATTTCCAGTGGTACCTCCAACGCCGTGCCTTCGACTGGTCTCATCGCTCCATATTCATGGTACCAATGCTGCAGCTGCTCTGCATCTCCTACGCTGCCGTCTGCTCCCTCACGAGGATCACAGATCACAGGCATCACTGGTGGGACGTCCTCGTCGGCACCGTCATTGGTGTTGCTACTGTTCTTTATGCTGTAAGTATCCGTTATCGAAATAGGTTCTATAGTAAATAGCGAACAGCTTATATTGAACTGGATTATTTCGAATCGAGTTTTCCTTTTAGCAGTCGGTAAAAAATAGGCGAGAAATGATAATAATATTTTCCTCTTGCTTCCAGGTCATTATCAGCTCAAACTTCTCACACGATCATTCAAAGATCAGTGATCTGAAGTCACAGGAGAGCACACAAACTGTGAGGACCCTACTATATGACGAGAGAAGACCGGCAACAGTGTCCTAGTGTTATCATAGCAAAAGACTGGTTTCAAATTGAATAGACCAATATGGTCTTTTTAAAATCTTGTCCGAAAGGACCGAGGTGTAGACCTTTAGTTATTAGGAACGAATTTATTTATAATAAAGGCCAGCTTAGCCTTTCGAAGAATAAATACATATCCTTGCATAAGTAGGTAGAATTTGGTCCTAATATCCTTCTAGTAAAACGGTTTTGGAACTTAGGACTACGTTTGGAAGTTGTGATGTGGAGAATTGGTTAAATATTCTCGAGTAGGTATTGGTTCGATCTCGATCGACATTTTAATTAAAATGACGAAAGAAATTCGAAATACAACAAACTTGACATCACATTAGATATATGTATATGACAAATAAGCTAAACAAATTGAAAGGAATAACGACTAAATATATTAAATAACAGAAAAAGATCTTTAAAATGACAAATAAAAATTACGACATTCATTTGTTGCAATTACATTTTTTACCCAAAGTAATATAATATGTATAAAAAAATATGTAGCAATTTTATATTCAGGCAAGAAATAGCAATAGAAATGCACAAAAATACTTAGCACTAAAAATGTTCAAAAGATAGAAAATAATGCAACTGAAATATCCGCCATATTGTTTTTAGTATTTATATTGTTAAGTAGATAGATAATGTCATAAGAAGTTTAACTTTATGACCTTAGAATGTTATAAGTTATTGTCAAAATGTAAATATTTATTTATAAGTAGATATTATGTATGAAAAGGATGCTCGCGATATGCATTTCAATAAACCACCAATATGTATGACATTTTATGTGAGTTTAAACATTTGTATGTAATAAAATCTTGGAAAGTCCTTACATTTGCTTTGGAAGTAAATGTTATTTAGACTTTACTGTACATGTTTGTAGGAAGTAAATAATAATATTTAAATTAACCTGACTAAACTTTTATGCACTTAGGAGCAAGTGAAATAAAGGGACTCACTAGGCTTTTCCTTTTAATTTCTTGATAAAATGACTGCCACGTTGGCCGAGTCACAAGTGCGACTGCCGGCGGCAAGGGGTCTCGGGTTCGATTCCCGGGTAGGGCAAAATATTTCTAAGATTTTTTTAAAAAAATCTTAGTAGTAGCACGGAGTATGCAATTGTGCCATATGGCAATAGGCTCACCCCCTATTACATGGGACTCATAACATAAATAGTGAAAAGTGGGTGTTACATTTTACAGTGGCATAATGTGCACCTCTGCCTACCCCCTCGGGGATAAGAGGCGTGATATTGTTATGTTTGTTGATATAAAATTTCTGATACAAGTATTTTATGTATTGGTAACGTATGTCGTATAGAAGGCAATTTATGCCCGAATACTGAAACGTTACTCAACTTTAAGTCGCACCTAAGCATACTTCTATCTCTACAAATTCTTTATAAAATGACAGAGACAGCATGATATTTAAGCACGTCTTAAAATTGAGTAACGTTTTAGTATTCCAGCATTAGTTACCTTTAAGATGATAGCATTTTGTTGTAAAACGAATATTTTTTTTAAAAGTTTTAGAGGGTCCGATAAACTTAAAGAAATAAAAACGTTAATGACACCGTTTATATAATAATATTAATTATGCATTTTGTGTAAAAGTGTATGTTTAGTTAATTTAAAATAATTGTTATTTATTCACATTCACATGTGAGTTATTTATTCGCCTTTTACGAGTGCATTTTAAAAGTCGACTTATTATGTGTGTGTCCTATATAAAGGTCATACAAAATTAAAAATAAATATTTAGAAAACTGGTACTTAAATTGGCGATGCCTTTTATATTTTTACTAAATTATTTTATATATTTTAAATTTTAGAAATAAGTAGGTAGATTTAATAGGTATATTTTAAATTTTAATTTAAGAAATGAAATAGAAAGTAGCATATCAGTATTATAGTTTTTTTTTTAAATAGGTAGGCGAAAAAATTGTAGGTTTTAATGAAAGACAAAATGTGTTTTTGTTTGACAAAAATGTGACGTTACATTTTGTTACAATATAAATTAATGTAAATAATATACTCTTTGTTTTATTTACTCCAGTTGCTACTACATACCTACCACATGTCTTGCTACTTAGCTCGAGAATCGATCACCTTGCTCGACAGTCGTGATCGCGATCACTTAAGTACTCATCAGCGTCAAACTCAAACTCAAAAGCATTTATTTCAATTAAACCATAATTTGGTACTTTTGAAACGTCAACAAATATGAAATATATAATAGTCTGTCAGTCTGTCCGTCAGTGAAGCTAGGCGCTCGTTCCAAAATGTCGATTCAAGTGGAGAAGAACGAGCAAGAAACTCCATTCGTTACTCTTTTAAAAAAAGTCTGTTTTACATTGCTCTGATACATATTCCAATATTGTACACACATCGTCAACATATCACATATCGTCAACATTTAACAGCAATAATATCTATCCTATTCTTAAGAAAAATCAAAGATAGCTATTCTAAGTCTTTTTAACCACATCTACCAAACAAGGACACAACTTTATCTTAAAATAGACTACTCCTTATACATACACGAACTAGATGATCACAACACAATAAAGGTTGGTCCTCCTAGTCAACACTACTGACACAAATAAATGGCCTTCGCACCAAAAGACTGTAGGGCACATGTCCTAAATATAGGTCACAACGATAGCCCTGCAATACCACTTATCTGCTATTATGAAAATAAGGATGCTCGTGATCACCGGTTCGATTACCGTGTGATGTACGATGTACTTGCAGGTAATTGATGTGTATTAAGATGTTTTGAGGTAATGTTGCGGTTTTGTAAGTACGGTAATTTGTAGTTTATATGCCAAACGTTTATTATTCCTTGAAGAGATAGATAGAGAAATTGTATTTAATAAAGAACTTGAACAGTGAACAGGTGATCCGAATAGGTCACACATCATTGCTTACCACCAGGCAAGATCATGGCCAAACTTTAACCTTTTTTTTGAGGGAGTAAAATCATCGAATGACTGCTTCCCGCCTTAGGTTAGGCGAGAGGGCGTGTCAGACTCTTACTTACTAAAAACCACCCCGTTCTTTCTCCTGCTGTTCGAGCCGGAGCCCCGGCAACCCGTTAGGCCTTCCGCGGCGCAGAAAAAGGACCGTGTTAAAGTAATTATGTTTCTTTGGAAATAACTTTTGTTTTATAACTGTTGTTGTCTAACACTGAGATCGACTCTTGGATTTCACGTTTCGAATTCGTAGGTTTTTGGTCACTTGACTTTAGATGCTTGCTCTGATAATAACAATAAAATAATATAATATCACCCATGAAGGGAGAAGCAGAAGTGCACTTCTGCCTATAAATATGCATATTAAGGCCCTTGATATTGTATTATATTGTACAATGTAACACCCACTTTTCACTATTTATGTTATGAGTCCCATGTAATAAGGAGTGAGCCTATTGCCATAGGTATACCGGAAACAATTCTATACTCCATGCTACAAATGACATTTTTTTTAAACACAGTTATACTTTCCCTGAATCGGAAATCAAACCTGAGACCCCTTGTCAGGCAGTCTCACTTGCGACCTCTCGACCAGCAAAATAATAGTAATTATATATTTTTGTCACGATTATCTATCAAAATCGTATGGAAATCACAGAATTTAATTTTAGACACAAACTTATGACTTATCTAATATTTTGTTATAAAATTATATCACAGTACCTACACCCAATAACTGATTCCAAGTATTTAACCGAAAACAAAGGCACATATTTTCGTTGTCCCAAAAATATAATCTGTAAGTTATCGTGAAATTAGTACAGTTCAGTAGTTCACATTGTAAATACAAATATACAATACTTTTGATGTACCCGTCACTTTTATCTAATTTAACAGACTCTCGAAATTAGACTAGGATCTTTACTTGTAAACTTAAACATCACACCCTATAACAAACTTAATCAACAGCTAGTGTAGGCGATTTTATTGCTTATAAATGTAGATTTAAGAGTGTCAATTAATGCAATAATAAGTTTGGAATACAATTATTTTCATGCAGTTTTTGTTAGTCCTATTGCAAATGTAATCAAAGTGAAAATCGTTTGTCGTAAATTACACTAGTTTTGTGTGGCTACTGTCATTTCTATTGTTAGTAAATTAATTGTCAAGATGATGTGTCTTGTTGCGTGTCTGACTCTTTGACTATGAGTGATCGGTGATTGGTGATTGATAGGATTTCTCTAGAAATGTTTGTATTAGTGTCAAAGAGTTCAATTTACTGCATTGAGGTCCTTTTAGTAGGACAATTAATGTCACTACAACTATTGTAATTTTTGAATTTGATCTCTGCTGTCCTTTTTGGAGGTCGCGTATCTAAAATTGTGCTACGATAATTATTAGAATTACTACACAATTAACTTAAATGAAACTGTTGAAAAAAGTCAACTGACATTTTATTTTACGGTACAAGCCGGTATACGAGCAGACGGATCACCTGATGGTAAGCAATCGGCGTCGCCCATGGACACGGTATTCAGAGATTGGGGAGATGAGGGGGGCTGTCTTTACCAAAGAAATTATTAATATTAAAAACTATATCAAAAGTCTTTACTTATGACTTTAAACCCAAAGTATCTACTTAAAAGGGTAAGTATTAAACTGTCAAACACCAAGCGGTCACCGGTGACCGCAACCTATTGTTCTATAATTGTGTCTATTATGACGATACTCGACGAGTTAATTGTCTAATATCGGGACTACAGCGAAGATTTTACTTTAATTATTTTTTTAGTTCTTTGCTCCATTGTTTATCTCTAGAAACCCATCGAAACCCGTTACCAATACCACGTTTAAATAAATCCCCATGAACCGTATGGACGTAGGTAATTTATTTTTCCGTTGAGTTCGAGTCCGGTGTAGGGGAAGGGACATAGGATAATAAATTACAATTTAGCTTCGCCCGTACGTCAAACCTGTGACAGTTGATATGACTTGTGATTACTGTACCTAGGTACTTTAGGTACTCATATTTTATTAATACATAGGTCCCTGCTTAGGTGAGTATTTTGTATAGGATAAAACTAAGATCTGGGTATCAGATATCGATTAAGAAAATTATTGTTGGGCTTTTAGTTCTTAGCATCGCTTCACTTGAGAAAGTCCATATAGCTCCAGTGGATTTTAGTTTTATATTCAGTAATCACTTTGCATCTGCACCCAGTGCCGGATTAGCCACGTAGCAAGAGTAGCAAATGCTACGGGCCCCGCGGATTGGAGGGCCCCGCGCTCAAATAGGTATTTCGTAATTACATCACTTCAACAGCAAGACTTATGAAGAAAATGTTTTGTTTACAAAACTACTATCAACCTAAAAGTAATTTGATTTTTTTCTTAACGAAATAAACGAAAAAAGACATATAGTCGGTATTTTGTATGTGTAAGAAAAGGACAGTTGGTATTTGTGCGCTTGGTTGGTGCCATTGGCGGGCGAACCAAGCTCGATTTAAATGAATTAAGGAAGACTACGGGCCAAGAACGTCTTAATCATCTCACAATATTGAA